ATACAGACTCTGCTATCAACAGAATGGGGGTTAGGGTGGGAGAGTTAATATTTTTTAAATAGCGTTTGTTGTGGACATTCTTCCCCTTTTGCTGATTGGCTGTTCACTCCACTTTTTTCTGCCCCTTCCTTTGCAATCTCTTTACTCCAGCTTTACTTCCCATCTTCCATGTACCCCTTATTTCCTACTAGGGATGTCAAAATGCATTTATTAAGGTAAACATGTATCAGAGGCAGCAGTAAAGGAAGTTGGGAGGGGAGGGCGGCTCCCCAGGAGCCGGTGCGTGCTGGGAGCTGTCTTAAAAGCCGGCTCCCACCTGCCTTCTCCCTGCACTGCTGCCACGCTGATACCGAGATAGCAGTGCAGGGATTGGGGGGGACTGCATGTAACTGTGAAGGTTAACCATTTATACATATATACTTTTACACCCCTATTTCTACTATCCCCCCTTTTAATGTGACTCTACCTTCCTTGTCTTTTAAAATAATCCTCTCCCAACAAAACTCCACCCTGCAAAATTCAAAAAATTGGACTTAACATGGCTTCACAGTGTTCACCTGCTTGTATGTCACATCTCTCCCCTCAACCCTGTGTCTATATCTTGTTTATTTATATGGCAAATTCTTCAGGACAGCTCTATCTCTTAGGATATTTTGCAAAGTGCCTGGCACAATGGGTCCATAGGCACTACCATAATACAAAAATATTTGGGACAAACCTTAGAATTTGAAGGGAGATCGCAATAGCAAGCTCATATAGACTGATAATTACATAGTACAACTGGTTTCTCTTAAGAGGGATATACTCACAGAATGCTAGAGTCAAGTCACTATATTGTGGGCTTAGTCACTGGTTTAACATCTCCCCCTCAGGATTCAAAGGACATTGGCATTTAACAGATTTGTTCCCATAAAAGTTCAAATTAAGCATAGCTTTTTGGATTAAACAGGGGGCTGGAAATCACAGATTCTAAACCCAGAAGAGACCATTGTGATTATCTAGACTGACCTGTATAACAGGCCCCGAACTTCCTCCAAAAAGTTCTTAGCGCATGTGTCATGAATAGAAGCTGCTAAGGAGAATCTGACTTACCTGGAGAGTGAGAAAAAGGTTAAGCAACTGTGGGGATGCACCTAAGGGAGGGGGCTTCAGGCATTCAGCCAATGAAACGCAGACAGGAATTTCAAAACGAGGGAGGGTTTTTTTTCCCTCTCTTCCTTTGTTTTGAGATCAGAGCAGTTTTCCCTCAGGTAACAAGGGAGTCGGGTTCTCCCAGGAATGGATTCTTTGAAATGTGTAAGTAAGGAAAAGTTTAGATAGTCCATCAGATTTTATTGTTTTCCTTGTCTGGGGGTTTGGAAATCATGTCTGAGCTGGTTAATTGTTTTTCTCTTTTGTAACTAAGGATTACAACCTAGGGATTTCCCGAGTCTATTTCGCTCCATGACTTTTTAACACTCAGTCATTTACTATGCTTGCAACAGTAGTCTTGTTTTAATAATAAAAGTGTTTTCTTTTTGTTCTGATTAACCCATATTGGTTAATTTTTGTATCCTTAAACCTATGTGCCTAAGTTACCCGGGAGAAGCACAGCCCCATGGTTCTCCATGGATTACCTCTGTTTGTTTTCCCAACTCTAAGCAAAATGGAGATTGGGGTAGGGAGGTTCAAGTGACCTCTTCTCTGGAAAAGGTCTAATTTTATGTTTTTTATTTACACTTGATGCTGGCAGCAAACCAACTGTCATTCTTTTGGGTCTCAGAGAAACTGAGACCGGACAAGTTTGTCTCTGGGAGTTACAGAGACAGGATCTTACAGAGTTTATTCTGCTGGCCGGCCCCAAGTGCTAGGTTGGGGAATTGAGCCGTGACAGAATGTTTTTTAGAAAAAAAATCCCATATAGATTTAAAAATTAACCTTGGTAAATTGTTCCAATGGTTAATTACTCACTGTTCAATTTAACTTTTAATCTCTGCCTCCATTTCCTTATCTGTAGAAAGGGCAACAAATTCATTTCTATGTATTGAAAAAACTGTTTGGGTAAAGACCATCTGAAAGATGTAAAGTGCTGTAAGTCTTCACCCAAAACCTCAGCAACCAGGCAGGATGAGAGAATAAGAACAAAGTCATGCAGATTTCTACACTGTGTGGATGACAAGGCCCATTGTCTGCCCATTTTGCACCCTCCCACAACTGAAAGGGCTCAAGTGTAGTTTTTCACTTCAGAACCACATACAGTACATGAGACGTCAATACCATCCCCAGAACGGCCAAACTGGGAACAAGAAATTACTCAGCAGAGATTCTTACACACACCCGTCTTTGTCTTGTAGACACTGACATTCATTTACAAGAGATCCCCCTAGATAAATGCATCCAAATCTCTTTCAAAGGTTGCAGTGTCAATCTGCACTAATTAATCTTCACAGAATGCAAACAGTGGATTCCAGCTCTCCAAACCCTTACTTATGAACTTTTAACGTGCATAAACCAGGGATGTGTCAGTGTACATGTTTAAACAGTTAACTGATAAGCCTGGGCTTATCGGTTAACATTCACGGTCACACAAAAGCCCCCTCCCTCCCTGCTGCCACTAAATCAGAGGCAGAAGCAGTGGGGGAAGGAGAGAGCAGGCGGAAGCTAGTGCTTGGGGAGAGCTGGCTTTTAAATAGGCTCCCCATGAAGTGCCTGATAGAGGCAGCAGTGTGGAGGGACAGCAAAAGCCAGTATGTGCGGGAAGCCAACTTTTAAGCTGGCTCCCTGCATGCACCAGCTCCCATGGAGCCGCCTCTCCCATGCGTGTAAATGTGTAACCACTGAAAATTTCAGCAGTTGTACATTTACAACCCCTCCCACACACACATTTTTTAACATCCCTATTATAAACTCATGCTTTTTCATTTTAAAAACCAAGTTTAGCATAACCCTGAACACAAACACAATTTACTGGCAGGTACGAAGGACAAATGACATTGGATGAACTACTAGTATCCTTTCCATACTAAAAACGCATCCAGCCCTGGGCCCTTTGTCTGAACTATTGATTCTATTTACTAACACAAGTGGAAATGTTTTTGTGAGTGTGAAATACCCTAGCAGACATGATCATAGAGAGAAAAGGAGGAACATCTAGGAGGAACTTCCAGTCGCAACCACTTCCCTAGATTCGGAAAGGGCCTATTGACCCCTCTGAGACCTTTCCAGTCTGACCACTGTGTCAGAAATCTCAACCAAACTCCTTACTAGCCCTGATGCCTGCAACTTTCCCCTCCTCAAGGCCATTCAAATGCTGCTCCTAACATCTTTCTAGCTTATCACTGTGTCATCCCTTGTAACTTCCTCCACTGGAACAACTTCTCTTACAGTGAAGCAGACAAAATTCTTGCCTTATTAAAATCCTTTGCAAACTGGCCCCAACTTACTATACAGCCACTTATTTTATTGTGAGGGTAACTTCCTGCCCTCGCTATACCAATGATGCCACACTCACTCCTCCCATGCCACAGCTACACGTGGTAATTGGCTAAGAACCATTCACACAGCTAGTCTGTGCTAAGACATACTATATTTGTTACCCCAACCTCCTCATTTTCCTTTCCGGCTTAGCTCATCCACCCGTTGTGGTTGCCTTTTATACTGTAAGTTCTTTGGGACAGCAACTGCCATTTGCTAAGTGCATACACTGCTGATTCAAAAACAAATATCCACAACAGCAAGGAGAACGGAAAGTGTCAGCAGTGACCCACCCATCTGATAGAATATTCAGTTATTTCAGTTCAAGATTTACTCCCATATTAAGGCAGGTTTGCGATGCCAGTGGAGATGGTTGTGGAGAAAGTGATTCCCGATACAAGACACCTATGAAAACTCAAAGTTGGTGCTTTGAATGGTGGGTGCACCCCAATCTGTGGCCAGTAAACAACCAGAAATCACCTTTCAGAGGTGGCTAGTGAATGACACACTCACTACGTGATGAGGATGATATCAGTACATTTTTCCGGAGTGACTAAGTGACTTAAGAGTCCAAGTCCCATTGACTTTCATTAAAATCTCATAGGTGTTTTTTAAAGCTTTACCCCTCAGCTAATGGGATATCATGAGAAGTAATGAACATCCCAGATATTACATAACCTTTATTCATTTTATTTTAAGTAGGCTAGTGCTTTTTTCAGAGTCCAGGGCTCACCTCCAAAGACTTTAAACTACCATTAAATCTTGAATATCACTGAGCAATACTTACACGCATTTGAAGAAGTTTGCTCACTTTAATAATTCAGATCCTCAGCACAGACTGCCAGCTGCTATTCTCTACAAGCTATGCTCTAGCCTGAGCAAAGCAAGAGATGAAAAAGGGGAGACAAAAATTGTATTTTTTTCCAGATTTGAAAAATACCTGCCACTTAGGCTGCTCTAAGCTTGCAGTCCAGTAGTAAACCTGAAGGTGATCCTCACAGTGTAAGGAATAGATTGAGATACTAAACACAAGCTAGATTCCACAATACCATAACAAGAGTCCCATCTCATTAGATGCTGAGCATTCAACTCCTATTTACAGCAGCTGCAACTAAAAGTGTTCAAGTGGAATCCTGGGCATCTTCCAATAGTGTCTCACATTTTAAGTCTTTGGGAGAAACAAGTTGTGTAGGTTTTTTCAGGTGGAACATTTCACATTAACAAAATGAATATAGGCAGAGGGTTCTATTTTAGACTTTACTGATATTAGTTTTCATTGAAGGCCTTTCTACCTATGTGTTTTTCATCTATGAAAACAGGCAACCAGCACATTCATCAAACATTGTACAAAGACATGAAAAACAACAACAAAATATTTACCATAAATTATTGCTAATTCAGGCCTTTGATCAGCTTAGTGTGTGTTTATGGCTTGATAATTGAAGCAATCCATGTTCATAACTTATGAATGAATCAGCTAAATTAGCTATTGCTTGTAAACAGACACAAAGAAATTCTCCAGTTTCACAAATTGGAAGATAGCTTACCGAAGTAGCAGTTCTTTTGGAAGTTTTTTGTTGATTACTGCTTCGTCATTATTTGAGAACATCTGCAAACAAAAATAAACAGCTTAAACCACTTGGCCACCCTGTATGTTCAAAATAAATCATTACTTCTGGGAGCACAACTGCTGCTTAACAAGACAATTACAACTGAATCGACAGAGCCAATAAACTCTCGAACTTTGCTTAAGTTCTCAAATTCTAAGATTGAGCACCAGTGTGTGAGTGGCATTTTACAGGTTGGATATATTTTTGCTCAATTTGGTCAAAAATGCTTTGTGGGTTGATAAGGAGGGATTAATTATAAACTGTTTTGGGAAAATAAGGGTTGTTGGGTGCTGTAGGATGAAACTTACTGTATGAAGGAGCATCTGATCACATACAGTGCTAACAGTAGGATCAACCGGAATGTCCAATCAAAAAGCACTGCTGACCAGACTGTTAAAAGTTTAGTTGGCATGGGTCTGGCAGTCACCCTACTTCACACTTTGCACAGATTCCCCAGAAGCAGTGACATGTCTGTCAGCTCCTAAGTGAAGGGACGACCAGGGGTTTTGCGTGCTGTCCCAACCCCAAGTGCTGTCTCCACACCTCCCATTGGCTGAGAATTGCAGTCAATGGGAACTGCAGGGGCAGTGCCTGTGGGCAGAGGCAGTGAGCACACACCTCAAATAACCATTCACATTCCTAGAGCCAGGTTTAACTGGTAAACATCACCCTTAGTGGATGATCCTTACCGGTTACAGGCCCAACCTGGCCAGAGCAGTATGCTGCGGGTAGGGGCACTCTAGCCTGGCTGGAGGGGCCCTCCTGCCCGCCCCCCTTTAGCCAGTTAGCCAACTAAATATAATGTTTAACCAGTTAACAGATTAACCCAGATTTTACACCCCATGACTAGTAGCCGATGGACATGTCACCACTTCCAAGGAATCCCCCGACGGTAAATGCCACCCAGAGCCTGCATCCCAACCCTTTCCACAGTCCTGAACCCCCTCCCACACCAAAATCCCTCCCAGAGCTCACATCCTGCTATCCCTCCCACATCCCTGTCCCAGCCTGGAGTCACCGCCTGTACTCCGAACAACTTAGCTCCATTCTCCCAGCCCAGACCCTCCCTATTAAACCCCAACCTCTATCCCAACCTGGTGAAAATGAGCAAGTGAGTGAAGAGAGGATGGAGTGCGCAGCAGTGGGGCCTCAGATATGGAGTGGGGCCAGGCCAGGACCTTAGGGGAAGGGCGAGGCAACGGCATTTGGTTTTGTGTGATTAGAAAGTTGGCACCCCTGGCTAACAGAGACCTTGAATCCATGGCACTGTGCTGTGAAGATGCATCAAAGCACAGGCATTTCCATGCAAGGAGAAAAATGGAACATTACACCAAACGATCTTGGGACACTAGTTCTGGGGACAGAGGACAAGAATAATTAGAAAGAAAAGTAACAGGGCACTCAGGGAGCCACAACGTACAGGCAATGGCAACTGAGGAAGAGGGTGTGCTGCCTCTTGTTTCCTTGACAAAAAATGAGGAAAAAAGGAAGGAGAACAGATAAAGGAGGAGTATTAACTGCTGCCCAGGAGCCTAACTAAAAGGACTTGCACAATTACAGTGAAAGGATAAAGGAACAATTTTTGCAAACTTTGAAGAAAATCACCCCTTTGTTCCCCCACACAATCGTGACCACAACTATGGCTTGAAGTTCCTCTCCACTGTCACTTAAGCAAGGGTTTGTACATGCGTACATACACACACGCGCGCTAAAGATTATTCAATCACATAGCAGTCCACTAATTTACAGAAAGGGCTCTCTGATCAGCTGATTAAGGTTTAAAACCACCTCACCAGCTGAATGAAAAACAAACTACCTGGGCTTCAGTGTTCTAGTTACCAACAAGACTTATAAAGAAGGCAGGAGGGCAGAATCTCATGTGTTCCCAGGGATGAGCTACATGTATTTAAAGGCTTAGCACTTCCTTACATTGAAAAGGGCACTTGAACCTGGGGGAGGGGCAATACGTATCATGAATACAGTACACACATCACTGATGTGTACAGCCCTGTTATTCTGTATTCTTGTGTCAAGCATTTAAGTTTCCCATACCTATTATACAGTGATGCTGTGGCAAATTTCCAACTGACAATGAAAAGGTCTCTCACACGGACAAACAAACAAGTCTAAAAACGAGTTACATTCATTAAGAAGGTTTCTAACCTTTCTCCATAGGCAAGAACAGTTGTGTATGTGTAAGTTACATTCCACAAATGCAAAGCCTAGCAAGATTAATAAGCAGTGAAGTTACACTCTAAAAAGATTCTTATCCGCTGATTAAGTGGGCTTCGCTAAACCAATCTGTCTATATAGATGCAAAGGAAATAAACCCAGCATTAACACACCACCAGGTAGGTCACTCTCCTATTGACAGAGGATCAGATTAAGAGTTAAAAAAGGATAGTAAAAATCTCCCACGTTTTAATATTGGCTACATCTATTTTTCTGAAATACAAAAGGCAAAGGAAAGACTTCTGAATGTTAAAAGTGCTACAGTGGAGCAGAAAAACTCCAAGCCATCCTTACACATACCATACTTTACCACAATAAACCACCACGTTGCATATATGTGGGCTCTTATATAAGTATCCACATGCAGATAGAAGTAATGAAGGTGGGGGTCTATAAGCCCTCGTCTACAAACGGAGCATCCACACTACTGAGACTATTATTTTGAAATAAATGGCTGGTTATTTCAAAATCTGAACTCGAGCTTTCCTCGGGGAATAAGCTTATTTTGAAAGTTATTTCTGGAGTTATTATTCCGAATTTAGTTATTTTGAAATAATTTCCTAGTGTAGACATGCCCTAAATGAAAGCCCTCAGAATATGGGTTTCTTTTCATATATAAGTAACACATGTTCTGCTATCCCAAGCACACATCAGAACTGCTCTTTGGAAATAAGGGTAAAATTTTCAATAGCTCTTCCTGATTTATAAGCCCAAGTTCTGTTTTTCCTACCAGTAATATTACCGGATGCCTTTGCAGGTAACAAGTGTGGCTCATGGGTTTGTCAAGCTGACGATTACCAGACTGTTGAAGTAGCATTGTCAACATTCTGGGAGCTGAGATGCCTACAACAAACCCCATTTGCTCAGTAAGGAAATGAGATTCTAGATAAGTCCTATTGGCAGAGTCGGACAGTGGTACAGGGCCTATTTATGGAAAAGCAGAAGAGGATGTGATTTTTTTAGGCAGCCTCAGAGGTGCATATGTGTATCTGACCTCTCTCCCCATAATGGCCTGTGCCAGGATTGTATGTTTGAACCAAGATCTCCACACTCTGTTGGGGTGGGGAAAGAGAAGCCAGATACCAGTAGAACAGCAGTTAGAAAGGTTCATGCTCAAAGAAATTATCCGGGACACACAAAGTCCTGAAATAGAGATGACACCTAGAAGTGGTCAAGAGAACTTCCCCTTCGTCCCCACTTCTCAAGCCAATCCAAACATGGCTATTAAGTTACAACGGGTTCTTCTGGATTCTGACAACCAGAGTTACCCATGCATTGCACTAATTACCTCAAGTCACTAGCTAAGGTTAGACTCCCAGGCTACTTGGAAACCAGTCACTGTAGAATGCAGCTGCCAGCTTTGAGTTTTCCACAGGCAGTATATTATACCTGACCACTTGCTTCAATACATCCCAGGGTACTGACCCAAATTATAAAGCCCTTTCCATTGTTTGGGTCCTGACTACTACAGAAACTGTCCTTCACCTTGTGCAATACTGAGGAAGTTGCAAAAGGTTTATGGTAACAGCTTGTACAGTTAAGGCAAGGGTTTGGGGACAGGACAGTCTCAGTGAATGGCCCTCATTCTGCTCTGAGTTTGGTGACACTCAGGATATAGCGCAGGTCCCACCTCTTTCAAATGGGTATGCATAAGGGGAGCACAAGACCAGCAAGAAATAACCTTTAATGTTTTGGCAGTGTATCAATGATAAACCAAACAGAAGAATTTAAATTCCTCAGAGTAAAAGATCCTTGCCTATCTGCTCCATGTGCAACTGAGACAGAAAGGAAGAAAAAGAGCGAAGAAAGAAACAATAAACTGTAAATCTGTAGAGCCCTTTAGGAATACAAAATTTGTATCTGCTTCCACATCTGTATCCACAAAAACGAGTCATGGATATCCACATTGATACCCACGGATGCAGATGCACGTGGAGATCAAGTGGATAACCACAAATTTGCAGTTTCCAGCTATAAAATTGGTATCTGCATCCACATCCATATCCACAAAAATGAGCTGCAGATATCTGCATCCACATTTGTGAATGCAGATACTGGCAGATATCCGCAGATTTCCAGGGCTCTATAAATCTATAGTCTTCCATATTTATCAGTCTGCTTTCCAAGTAAAGATTGTGCTTACATGCACAGACCCTGAAAAAGACTAGTTTTACTGGGGAGTGAGGACTCGGCAGCAAGTCTGCACCAAGAATACACCTAACGTCTGAAATGTTAGAAGTTAACCAAGACTTCAAATCTTTTGACTTTATTTCCAAAAGTAATTTTTAATGACCTTGGTTTTGCTTTTCTTAACATCCCTCCAACACCAGACGTTTTTCTGTTGAGTGGGTTTTCTTGCCAGAAACTATAAGAAAACAAACGCATTTATTGTGTGTTAATTTTGCTGCTCATATCAAATGTAAAATTTGTCCCAAACCTCTGCCCCACAAAGCAGGAAATCCACCCACCATGTAAAACCCCGGATAATGGAGCAGGACAAAGACCAAGAATGAATGGATAGAAGGGGAGTATGGAATTTACACACACACCTCTACATGAAAGCAAACCATGGCACAGTAATGCAGCCTCTCCCCAAGGACTATTCCAGTTTATCTGTTAAAAGTTCCTGCCTCGTCCAGCTGCCTCTCTACTACACATGTCGCCACCAAAACAGCCCCTTTCGGAGACACTCCTGATGCACTCAGGAACCTCTACAACAGAGGTGGGGAATCATTTTCAGGTCGGGAGGCACTGACCCACAGAAGTT